TTTTTTTTTGGGTTTTTATGGAGAAGAGCCTAACTACAGACGTTCATTACAGTGAAAATCCCCACTATAACGACTTTAATGGTCTGAAGGATGAAGCATTTGTTTTGAAACCGGATCTGTCCAAACTCATGTTTATATCTATATCATCTGATGATGATGGTAAGTTTTGCTAAATTACATATTTTTGCTCCAAAGGCTACCTTTCAGGGCATCTTGAAAAGGAGCATGTTGCACGTATGAATTGGAATCCCATGCAAGAAGTTGCTAGATTGCTCAGATACCATGCAGATCAGGTTTGTTCGCTTTTCGATGTCCAATTTTCTGTTTATTTCGTATAAATTTTTATGTAGGGCGACATTCAAACGTGTGCGACAATCGCTCTCGTTTGCGGTCGCCGACTTTCTGACGTTATAGACGATTTCACTGTTGAAGCTTGGCAAGATAGCTATATGAGTGAGTCACTTTTGTAATATTTTATTCTCAAAATCAGCTGTCGGTGATTTTCGAATATCAAAGAGTTATACTAAAATGACTTTTCAAATGTTATTTAGCTCTATGGCATTTAGACATGCTGGATCAATTAGAACTTCACACTGCAATTGCTGGCGTTAAGAAGTATTCATGGATCAAAAGAGTGAATCAAAGGTCACTTGAGGTGAGCTGAATGCAGAGTTTAGTACTTTCCTCCTGTGGTATTGACCAGCGTCAAATTATTTCATACTAACTACCATTAGGGAAACTTCATCTCGTCATATCGCAAAAACTTCAATATCGTGCATTCAAATAGTGATTAGACAGGTTTCAAGTTTTTTGTTATTTAGGGTACTCATTTTCGACTTTCACATCGCGGTTGCACTGGGCAGACGCTCAAATGTCGGTGCATCAAATGCTATACTGTTTGCGGTGGAACCTGTTCCGTTTGGTGAGCGTTTTTATCTCTTCTTTAAAATTTTTAGTTCAACTTACCTCTTTCAATTTTTCCTGATTCCTTTAAAATGTCTATAATTGCTGCTTGCACGTCTATTTCTTGTATTTCTAATATGCAATTAAATTTTTTTGGAGTCTTGTATTGACTGTTCTCCTTTTTGCACGTGTGACACGTCAGTTGCAAATTTCCCATTCAGTGATGGAACGCTATTACACATGAGTTGGTTCTGTCGGAAGTGCCATCATGCCGCTCATCCACATCACATACTTGAATGGTTCACGGTTGGTTTAGTTGATACCGCTTTAGTTTTTTGACCTTTATATTACCTGCTTGTTATTGATGACACTATAGACGGAACGGTTATGTCCTGTTGGGGATTGCATGTGCGAATGCGGAACAAATATTGTCCAAACTCCACAGGAGAAAAAGGCAATTTCTGCAAATAATCAAGCACATCGCGAAGCACTTCGAATAGTGAGTGTTCACGTTAATTCGATCTATGTTATCATATAATCAAACCATTTTCTTTATCTTTTGTGGAAAAGTTGTTGCTATGCCTTTTTCCACGAGTGAGCTTCTTTCTTTGAAGGTTAAATTTTTATATGTGGTCTTACTTTTTTTACCACCAGTGCGCTAGCCTTCATCTAACTGAGAAATGAACTATCATCAGCAAATGATACTCTATGAGAGCGCTATGCTTCCATTGTAAGTAACCGTAACAATCACCCTTCATGCTTTCATAACAAGCTGATTTTCATATAAAGTTGCAGAGATAATCTGTTATGTTGATTACTTCTCTCTGTTTATGTAAAAGGGAAGAAGTTGCTCGCTGACATATAGAAGCATGCAGACACACACATTCACAATATTTCCGAAGTCACGGTACACTTTGCTGATGATTTTTCGTCCTCCACTGTTATCAAAAGAGCAAAGCTACGGTAGTGATTGCATTTGCTCATCCTATTATACTTTAGCGAAGTGAAAATTGCTATCTACCTTCAACGTCAACTAGTTTGCCTTACGAAAGCTCATCGGATAGTGATGATGATTTAGACGACATTCCAGGACACAACGGCGATCATTCCGTACCTCAAACTGCTTTTGACTTTGTAAACGTTTACCTTACATATCATTTGTTTTGAACTAGGAAGTACATCGTACTCTTCCAGGATATCTTACAGTCTCAAACGCCCGAGTATCTTGAAAGTGTTGAGACACCCGCATGGAGAAGTAATCTGACCTTACCCATGGAAAAAGATTTCTTAGAGGTGGGCACATTGAACAATTTTTTTTCGGAGAGGAGTTTTTTTGATGACGAAAGTGAAAAAAAAGTTTTTAAAAAGAAAAAAAGCTTACACTGATAGTTTTAAAAAACCAGGGTTTTTTCAAACTATCAGTGTAAGCCTAGCCTGTCAATACTGCGCTTAACTCCATCTCCGCAACTGCATTCTCCTAAGATCTCTTGCCTCATCACGAAGCCGCATGCTGCTTATTTTCATATTTTTGAGTGAGTATCTCTTCTATGTTTAGTTGCTTCAAGAGACTTCCGACCCCAAACTTAGCCGCAAAATATCAACTATTCTCTATTGGTTACAGGTTGGTTTTTTTTTCTTATTATCATCTAAACTTTCACCTATCTTTTCAACTTCCTTTCGCTTCTTTGATACTTTATATTCACTATAATCATCAGTGCCCTCCCTTTTACATGCCTCGATTGTCTTCCTAGAACACATAGATCTCTTTTTTTAAGTTTAATTACTGCTTTGACACCCCATAGATGTGCTCGTTTTGCCTGTATGTCGGATTTCGTGGTGCGTCGTCAGGTTTACATACCCTCCTTTTACTGGAACAAATTTTTGTAGTTGACACTAATTCCTCCATTTTGAAAAAGCCACATGTGCTTACTCTGCAAGATTTATTCTCAAAATGCAATTTGTTGCAATATTAAATGCTTCTATCTTCATTGTATCTCAGTCGTAAGCTTATTGGCGATGATACGCACACATTTCTCTTTCATTTTCCAAACCATCTACTGCGTAAATACCCTGACTGTGGATACAGATACTTTATTTGTTGAATAACTGCAATCTACTAATAAGCATTTTTTCACGGTCCTTTTGGTGCTGCAATCAATTATATTGCCAAAGTATTTTGAAAAATTCGAAATCACTTCACGTCTATGCCATTCTTAAGTCGGCGTCTACATTGAAGCTTTTGAATCAAGTGTTATTTTCAATTCTCAGTGAAATTGGTGCGGTTAACAAACGCACAAGCCAGCTCATGTTGTTTGATGTTTGGTGCCCGAATCTAG